CTCACCACCCCCTTCCCTGAGGAGGACAGATGCAGGCTTGGGAGCCAAAGCCTTTCAGTCTCAGCACCACACCTGTGAGGTGATGCCATTGGACAAGAAATGAAACCTTCCCGAATCTCACTCTCCTTGTGTGCAGACGCGGAAATGGAATGCCAACCTTGCAGAATTGAGGTGCAAACTGACAAGCTGACCAGTAAAGCCCCCTGTGCCCAGCACACAGGAGCCCTGAGATACACATGAGCCCTCCCATCCCCCAGTTTCCCTCTGCCTCTCCCACAGTGTGGGTAACTCTTTCCACTCCTCCTGCCTCCTTGAGCTGAGCCTGGGCAATCACTGAGTCAATCCTCTCACTTCCTAAATCTCTCCCCAGGCAAAGATCAATGGAATTGAACAGGGAGGTCTGGACAGACATGAGCCTATGGGGACACTTAGCAGTCGGCAGGCATGGCGCTCCAGTTCAGCAAGGAGAGAACACTTAATAAATACCATCTCAATGACTGGCTGGGCGTTTGGATCCCTACCTCAAGCCACACACACCAGCCCATTCCAGGAGAAATAGAGATTTCAATACTTTTAAATCTTCTAAACAACTAGAAAACAATATAGGACATTTTTTTTTAAAAATCGAGTGGTTCGATCAGAAACTCTAAAGAAAAAGAGTTGCAGATTTGAACCACCAGAACATTTTTGAACTTTCGACGAGTTAAAAAAAATAAAATTAAATTAAAAGAAAAAAAAAGCACAAAAATCAAACCTGTAAATAACTGTTAGCAACACGTAACAAGGAGTTAAATCCTTTAACCTCTTATGCATCAATTTGCTCTTACAAATCAATAAGATACATTTCAATGCCTCCCCGCCACATCACTGAAACCAAGGCCACCTGTGACCTCTGTGTTACGAACGCAAGGATCAATTCTCATCTGCACCCTGCAACCTCTCTTAGCCCATGTGACGTGCTTGAAATATACCATGTTCGTGGCTTCCAGTCCATCACTCCTGCCTGGTCTCACACCCCGTTTTCTGTTCCTCCCATTTCCCAACCTCTAGCTGATGGAGCTCCCAAGTCTGGGTCTCTGGTCCTTCTCTCTCTCTCTCTCTCTCTCTTTTAAAAATTCATTTATTTATTTATTGTAATTAGGTGTATATGACAGCAGAATGCACTTTGATTCACTGTACACAGTTGCAGCACGACTTTTCATTTCTTTGGTCGTACACCATGTAGCGTCACGACGTATGTGCAGTCATACATGACCTAGGGTTCTGGTCCTTCTCTCTCTCTCTCTTTTTTTTTTAATCTACATTCACTCCTTCAATGCTCTCATCCAATCTCATGGCTTTAAATACTATATTCAAGCCGATGACCCTAAGTTTGTATCTCCAGTTGAAAACCCATCCCCTGAACTGCAGTCTCTATGTCCACCTGTCCATTCCACAGCTCTGTATAAAGGTCTGCTGGCATCTCCCCCTGAGCACGCCCAGGCAGGGCTAAATCATGGTGTGCAACATGGGCCCAGGTCTGGTGTAATTCTCTACTTTGAAATTCTGATTTTTTTTTAAAAAAACAAAGGGTCACCCATGGCCATTTTGCTCTGGGCTCCACACATCGCACAGCTGCTCCCATCCACAGATGGGCTTGCTCTGCCCACGCAGCCCGCTCTCTTCCACCGTTCCCTATTTCTGCTAGTGGCACCCCACCCTACAAGTTCAGAATCAGAATCTGAAATGCTCCAAAATCCAAAACTTTTGGGGCACTGAAATACCACTCCAAGTGAAAAAGTTCACACACTGAAACTTCATTTCATGCTCAAAAAACATTAAAAGTATTATGTGAAACTACCTTCAGGCTATGTGGATAAGGAGCCTATAAAACATAAATGAACTTCATGTTTAGACTTGGGCCCCATCCCCAAGATATCTCATTATATGCAAATATTCCCCAAATCTGAAAAAAATCAGAAATCCAAAACACTTTTGGTCCCGAACATTTCAGAGAAGGATTCGCAACCTGTACGGGGCCAGAACTCTAGAAGTCATCCTCAGCTCCCTTCTCTCTCCCACACACCACCTCAGCCAATCTCCCAGCAAGTCCCATTGGCTTTATCTGGAACCTGCACTTGGAATCTGCCCAGTCGTCCCCACCTCCACCCAGACCCCTGGTCCCAGTCCCCATCATGTGCTCCCTGGAGCATGGCAACCAACAGCCCCCTGACTGATCTCTCTGCTTCACAGCTGCCAGGGGATCTGGGCAAAATGTAATTCAGAACCTTCCATGGCTCTTCACCGCCTTCTGAGTAAAAGCCAAAGTCTTCTGGGTGGCCCACAAGGCCCTGCTGATCCCACTCTTGATCCCTTCCTGGCCACGCCCAGTCCCCCACGTTCACCTGGCCCAGCCACAGGGGCCTCTCCACGGGGGTGAAGCAGGGCTGGATAATGGGGATTGAAACGCCCCCCCCCCCCCGCCCAGCCCAGGCCCTCTCGACTCAAGGTCCTCATGCACACTGTTCCCTCAGTCTGGACACGCTTCTCTCAGACATCTACACGACCCTCTCTCTTAAATACCACTTCCCAATGAGGCCTTCCCCTACGACCACATCCAAGTTTCCCATCCCCCGGCTTTTTCCCCCTTTCCTAGCGCTCAGCTCTCACATGCGCAGTGTATTTCACATACTTATCTCTTTTTCCTTGGCTGTCTCCCCTCCACTAGCACAGAAGTTCCATGGAACAGGCATTTTTTTTTTGTCAGTTTTGTACACTGTGAGGCTCCTAACCAAAACACTGTCCAACACATAGTAGGTGCTCAATAAATATTTACTGAATGAATGGACACATGCAAAGAAAAATGAGTAGACGACCCAACAGGAACTGGCAACTGACAGATGAAGAAATAGAAAGAGTCCCAAAGCCCACACAACAGTGCTCTGTGATCCTCTCTTTAATGATCAAAGAAATGTAAAGTAAAAGTATTTTTACTCATCAGATTGGCAGGGACTTAAGTGACTGGTGACGTCCATGTTGGCAAGGGCAAATACCCCTTGCACGGTGGGAGCCTAAGCCAGCACAACCTTCTGGAGCTTATCTGGCCGTATGGAGCAGATCAGATGTGGAAATGCACATGACCTCTGACCCAGGCAGACCACTTCCGGAAACATGAAGGACCCACAGATGCTCAGACTCAGAGGTTCCCTCAGTGAGGGTTATAAATAGCCAACTGCTGGAAACAGCCTAGAAGGCCTCTGATGGGATGAATGATTGATGAAGAATTTACAGACCATCCACCCAAAACATAGAGAAGGAGAGGGAAGAACTCTGGACAAGGCTGATGGTCCACACGACACGCTGTTCAGGGGAAAATCAAGTGGTGGAGTGGAGGGACTAGCACGAGCCGGGGTTTCCCCTGTGAACGTGTTTATAAGTGCCAAGGGGAAAGTCTAGAAGAATATATATCTAAGTAGTTAGTAGTGGTTAGTTAGCCCTTGGGGGAAAGGATTATGGGAAGGTTTCCAATTGTACGCTTTTAGAGTCTTCCAGGTAGGTAAGTTAGGCAGGTCAGGGAAGGATGTAGATAGGTAGGTCAGGTAGGTAGACAGGTGGTTATACAGGTAGGTAGATAGGTAGGTTAGGTAGTTACGTAGATAGGCAGATTAAGCAAGTAGGTATATAGGTAGGTAGGTTAGTTAGTTGGATAGGTTATCTAGGTTCATAGGTAGGTTAGGGTGTAGATAGGCAGGTTAGGTAGGTAGACAAGTAGGCAGACAGGTAGGTAGGTTGGTAGATTAATAACATATGGAGAACATATTACTTTAGTCTCCAGAAAAATGATTCTGTTTGGGGAGAAAACACCTCCTCTGGCCCTGCGGGGGGACATTCCACGCTCCACGTTGGGGCCCTGCCTCGTCTGTGTGGCCTCTCCCCACCTCACCAAACCAAAGAGTTCCAAACCCACAGACGTTCCACTCCTGATCCTGTCCAGCTCCACCCCCGCCTCACAGCACCAAGGCCCCGCCCACCCCACCCCATGACCTCTGCAGCCTGGATGGCCAGAGAGGGACAAGGAACTCTATCACACTCCTGAGGCCAAGGCCGCTGCCCCCACCAGCCCTGGGGACAGCCTGTTGAACCTGGGGTACACAGAAGTGCCCATTGATGAGGGCCCGAGCAGGCCTGGCCAACCTGGCTCCGGCACACCTTCCAACAGGCACTGGAGGTGGCGGACCTGAGGAGGCCCAGCGGATCCAGGAGAGAACTGGCCAGTTGAGGAAGGAGACTGGAGGTTCGGCCCCCCACAGGGATTGCCAGATTTAGGCAATAGAACTGTATGTGCCATGCAATATTTGGGACATTGTTACACAAGCACGTGATTGGTTGTCTGTCTGAAGTTCAAAATCAACTGCACATCTGTACCTTTCTCTGGCCACCCCAATCCCCACTCCATCCCTTGGGGGGACAATGAACCCAAAAGAGAGCCATCAGCTGGGATGCCCAGGAACAAGGGACCAGAAGAGGAGATGGCCTGTTCCTGGTGCAGGGAGGAGCATCCCCTCCGGGAGGAGTACCACAGAGAGTGGGAACTTCCAGAGCACGAGCTGCCAGGCACCGTGACGCAGGGCAGCGAAAAGTCGGAGTGAGAGCAGCGTGGGGGAACCCGGATGCAAAACCTCCTACAGCCGAAGTACTTGGCAGATGTGGGTCGTGCAACAGATCCCAAGCAACCAGACACCGAGCGTATGAAGAGCCTAAGTGGGCCGCAGGAGTGACGCGTCCCCTCCGTGCCCCGGGATGCAGCTGGTGAGGACAGATGGCTGCAGGCTTGGCCCACCTTCTCAGAGGTGGGAAGCACCTCCCAGGGGTCCCTTTGCTTCAGGGGCCTTCAGACCCCACACTGTGTCCCCCTGCCATTGCCCCTGGCCGGGGCTCATTCAGAGGGCCAGCATGATCCTTATGCTCCGAGCCCTCCCACTCCATAGAGGCATGAAGAGCCCACCTGGATCTCACCCTACCTGGGTCAGATGGTGCCTGGAGGCAAACAGACCGGCCTCTGGGGGCCTGGGGAGCAGCAACCTGTCCTTCGCGGTCCCAGCATGCACTGTGGGGAAGAGCAAGAAGGTTAGTGCAATAAATGGCTTCCTGTCACCCGGGGGGCCCCATCTCAGCACAGGTTGCCAGCTCAATCCCATGGCCTAGCCAGCCGGGCTCAGCACTGCCACTACCACAGCACGGGCCTCTCAGCCCCAGCCTCTTTCCTACTCCCTCAGCACCTGGAGCAACCAGCCCTGACCAGACAGAGCCCAGGAGCATCAAACCCCTGGCCTGGCACGCAAGGCCCTGTCCACTTGTCCAAGTTCCTCCCTTCTCCCCATCTCTCAACACCTGCCACAGGCCAGCCCCACTCCTGCCCGTTCTGGTCACACGGATTCACAGAACAGCCTCCCCTTGTCCTCTCTTGAGGTCCGCACTGCTGACTATCAAGTCTGTCCCCTGCCTCTGGAAGCTTCGGGTACATGTCCTGAGCCCCCAGGATGTCTGGCTTCTGCCTCACCAACCCCGCAACACCCTCAGGACCCTGCCTGCACCCCTACCAGCCCTCCTGCTTCAGCCCTTGACTGGCACCCCTCCTGGGGACCACCTTCCTCATGGTGCAGGGCACCCCTCATCACTCCTAGACATGGTCACATCACTCCCAGCACAGCCACTGTCTCCCTTCTCTCTCTTCCTGGACCATACCACCCACACCCATGCTTCATTCACCCTGCACACCCCCTTGGCCACTTTCCATGCCCAGAAGAAGTCCCTTCACCTGGCCTGCAGGGCGCTAATCACTGCACACAAACCAGTCTCCCACCCTCTCTTCCTGCTCACTCGACTCTGGCCATAAGGCCCCTGCCCCCTGCTGTCCTCTGCCTGGCTTCTCTTAGGCCAGGTCTTAATCCAGGCACCTCGTCAGAAAGCACCCCCTGACACAGAGGGTGGGGGGTCCTCCATGACCCACTGCCTGCCTCCGTTACTGATCACGTCCCTGTTTCAACAGTCCCACGGTGAGCTTTCCTCCAGGCAGGCTGACCGAGGTGTAATTCACCCACAGTAAGATCCATCCTTTCTAGTGTGCAGTTCCATGAGCTTCAACAGCTGCCTGCAGTCAGGTCAGCACCACCTCCATCAAGGTATAGAACAATTCTATCAGGTCCCCAAATCCCAAGGGCTGTCCCTTTGCAGTCACATCCCACTCCCAGCCTCTGGCAACACAGATCTGTTTTCTGTCCCTGCAGTTTCGCCTTTTCCAGTGTCTACCAAGGGAGGCATCTCTATGCGGCCTCGAGCCGGGCTTGGTTCACTTAGCACAAGGCACTCAAGATTTATCTGTGTTGTCTCATGACAGAACTTCATTCTTTTTTTCTTTTTTAATTGCTGAGTAGTATTCCATTGTTTATCCATTCACTAGTTAGTTGAAGAACATTTGGATCGTTATCAGTTTTGGGAGATTATGAACAAAGCCAGTACAAATATTCACAGATGGGTTTCTGCCTGAACTAAGTTATTATTTCTTGTGGTAGGTATACCTGGCAGTCGATGGCCAAGTTGTATAGTGAGCATTCTTCTAACTTTGTAAAAAACTACCAAGCTGTTTGCCAAAGTATTTGTGTGATTCTCTCACCAGCAAACTACGAAGGTCCAGTTCTCTATCTTCCACAAGGCTCATGGTATCAATTTTTAAAAATTTTTTATTCTTAATTATACATGACAGTAGACCGTATTTTGGCATATCATACGTATATGGAGTATAGCTTCCCATTCTTGTGGTTGAACATCATGTGGAGTTAACAGTGGCTGTGTGTTCATATAGGAACATAGGAAGGTTATGTCTAATTCATTCTACTGTCTTTCCTATTCCCATCCCCCTCCTTTCCCTTCATTCCCCATTGTCTAATCCAACGAACTTCTGTTCTCTGCCCCTCCCCGCATTGTGTGTCAGCATCCACATATCAGAGAGAACATTTGGTCTTTGGATTTTGGGGATTGGCTTATTTCACTTAGCATGACAGTCTCCAGTTCCATCCATTTACCAGCAAATGCCATCATTTCATTCTTCTTTAAGGCTGAGTAATATTCTAGTGTGTGTGTGTGTGTGACACTTTCTTTATCCATTCATATGTTGATTTCTTTATCTATTCATCTTTATCCATTCATCCTATGTTGGTCATCTAACCAGTTTTTTAAAAGGTCATTGTAATGATACATAGTGGGACCTCAGTGTGGTTTAATTTATATTTCCCTAATAACTAATGATAGGAACATCTTTTCATGTGCTTGAATTTCCTTAGTACCACCACTATTGGAAACTGTCACCTTCATGTAATTATTCACCTGTTCATTTTCCATCTCCCCCACCATCTATGGGAGCAGAGGCCTTGCCATCTATTCTCCCCACACCTAGAACTATATCTGGAACTCGATAGTGGTGGTGGTGGTGGAGGCTGGCATTTATAAACCCCATCATGTGCCCAGTACAATTCTGAGCACTGTGCAAATACTAACCCATTTCATCTTTGCAACCACCCGAAGAAAGACAGGCGCTATCCATATTCCCATACAGGGATGAAAACTGAGGCAGAGAGAAGGCACTTGAGCAAGGTCACACAGTGAATGAGGTGCTGAGCCACATTCGGATCCCGGGGTTTAGCAGGCACAGTCTGTAGTCATAATCAGGACATTATATGGCCTACAACAGCCACTTGTACACCCCCGGTGAGGACAGTGACCAGTAAGCTGTGGCTTTGGCTCTTCTGAAACCCTCGTGCTGATGGTGGTCCTACAACGACCTTGATACCAGAGAATTTATTTCACTGTGCATTAAATGTCAGAATATTCCTTCCATATTTCCTCAGCTCTTCCACAGTTCGCATATGAGAAGCTCTGGCCAAAGATCTGGGAACCAAAGTCATGTGCTTCACGCTGGGCCAAAGCATTTAAGAGCCAGGGCATGACCTCCACCCACGGTCTCCTCCCCATAGTGACTGGAGAGCACATTTCCAGATGGTAGAGCAGCATCCTGGGTCCCTGAGTGACTGCATGGACCAGAGGTCTTCTCATTTCCCACACTGGACGTGGAACGGGAGTACATAAGGAAATGGAGGAAAGAGGAAGGGAACCATCATTGGGTCCTGACTACAGCGCAGCCTTGCCTGTCCTGCCACACTTCCTCTGGCTCTCCGGGGGCACATATCTGTGCTGCGTTTGGTTTGACACACGTTTGGATGATTTTCTGTGTGACTGAACTTAAAGCCCCAGATGGGAGCCTCCAGCTAAGTGAGGTGTCAGGGGAAATAGAATAATCTCAGTCCCCAGTTGAAGAGAACAAGGGGGAGCCTCCAGGCCCTGCGCTGGGATCCGCCAGCCGGACACGTCCCACGTGGTCAAGGGAGGTGTGATTTGAGGCAGGCGGTGGTATCTCCATGACAGTTGGGACCTGGGCCTACATTCAAGGATCCGAGCTTGACTTTAGAAAGGTTGAGGCCTCTTTAGAACTTTCTCTGTGTCTTGGGTCTGGAACCAGTTCTCAGGAAGGCTCTGGGGCCCCCGCTCATCTGCCCTGGATGGGCAGTGTGGGCAGGTGGGGACTGGGGGAACTCCGGGGACTTGGGGCCGCGACGATGATGAGCTGCAAGCTTAACTGTATGTCTGTGTGAACTACCTGGCACTTTGCTTGGCAATGATCACTTTCAATGTTGTGTGCTCCGGGGGGATAGTGAAGAGGACAGGGGAAAGAGGCGGCCCCCCAGAAGAACAGGGGCACTGGCAGCAACCCAGGAAAAGCCCTTAACGTTTGCAGACACCCAGAAATAAATTTGTTTTGCTTTTTCCAAGAAGTGAGACCTGGCTACAGTGAAACACACCCCTCCCCCTCCCACTCCCCCCCCCACCCCTACTCCCTCCCTCCCAAAAAAAAAAACAGGTACAATCCAGGCCCCCCAGGCCATTAGAAAGACTCTTCTATCCTGATGGCTTTCCAGGCAAACTCGAGAAGTTTCTTGCCTGTGAGCGCCCAGTACCGATTCCACTATTTATCTCTGTTCACCCAAAAGTTTGCGTGGGGTTGCACTTGGGCCAGGGTAGCTATAAACTGTGGTGCGCAGGGTGCTGGGGAGGGCTGGGGGAGGGCACTCAGTGGAGGTGGGAAGTGCTTGCTTAAAAGAGAAGAAGCCCCTGAGACAAAGGTAGGCCCAGTGGGACCCTGGGGACAGGGGCTTCTAGAAGGAGACCTTAAAGAATCCCCTCTCAGAGGCACTGGGGTGGGGACTGCTGGGTGCAGCTGCTCCCTGTGGGGGAGGACTGAACAGTACCTCCGTTTTGGTTAAGAATTAAAGGGCGAGGCTGATGCCCCAAACTGGAAACAAAATCAGACAAGGCAACGGCAATCATGGCTTGATATTTTCCTAAGAGGCTTTACTTATCTGGGAACTTGTTTAGAGGATGAGGAATCCAGCGTGGTAAGTGAGTAAAGGCGAAGTTGCCTGGCCGAGGTCCTCACCCAGTTTGGACACCTTGCATCCACGGGTCTCAAGGCTACAGGGTTTGCTCAGCTAAACTCAAGAGGAGAAGCCCTGCTCTGGAATCTGGAATCTGCTGTGCCTCTGCATTTTTTTTTTCTTTTGGTACGGGGACTGAACCCAGGGGCGCTTAGCCCTTGAGCCACATCCCCAGCCCTTTTTGTGTATTTTATTTAGAGACAGGGTCTCACTAAGTTTCAGAGGCTGGCTTTGAACTCGGCGATCCTCCAGCCTCCGCCTCCTGAACCGCTGGGATGACAGGCGTGTGCCTCTGTACCTGGTTGCTTTCTACTTTTGTTCCCTGTCGACTGTCCCAGGGTCCGGAATCTGGGGATGGCTCTTGGCTAAATTAGGGTCAGCTGGGCGGGGGTTAGCTCAGACCCCTGGCTCCAGGAGACCCTCCTCAGGGAGGAAGGGGTTTTAAACGTGAGCTTTCTGGTGTGGTTCTCAGGAGCCGGGCAGTGGTGGATGAGTGCACAGGCTGGTGGAAAATGCCCGAGCAGAATGGCTTGGGGAAGAAGTCCCTGAGGGCAAGCTGAAC